TGACCATTTCGCCGATGATGCTTGGGAGTTTGTCAATGCACCTGATAAAACGTATAATTTCGTAGGCCATGTCTAACATTTTCGCAGGTGATTATTTCATAGTTAGCATTTTTTGTCCACGTTTGACCATTTACCTTGTTTTTTGTCCACATTCAGTCATTATAACCGGCTACTATATGTTAAACCGGAAAAATGACTTAATATGGTAATATATTTTCTAGTTTGTACACATTTAGTCCTTAATGTTTTGTACACATTTAGTCCTTATGACTGGTTTCTTCAGATTTTGCTCACGACATCCTGCATTGGACAATCATTAACGATGTTTTCTCATAAGTGGTTTGTCATTCACTTATATCCATAACCTAATTCACAAATCGGTCAAATAATATTGGCACCCTAGTTTTCTCCAAACAGAAGATGTCTCCGGATTCGGTTTCATCTATATCCATAGCAGACAATGTGATTATTTCATTATTTGTGATTGCTTCCCCTCAACTTGAATTTTCACTTCCAAGACAAAAAAACACTTTAGCAAAAAGTTTAATCTATCTCTATAGCAAACAACAAGATTCTTTGTGATTGCTTCCTCCCAACTTGAATTTGCACTTCTAAGACAAATAATCTCGTTTTCTCATATGGAGATAGATGAAACTGAAGTCAAAGACATCTCCTGCTTGGAGAAAACTAGGGTACTATATTATTCGATCGCTTCATGAGTTAGATTACTGATATAAGTGAAGGACGAGTCACGTATGAAAAATACATCATTAATGATTTTCTCACGTAGGATGTCGTGAGCAAATCTGAAGACACCGGTCATAAGGACTAAATTTGTACAAAAACATTAAAGACTAAATGTGTATAAACTGAAAATTATATTACCCTGTTATGTAGTTTTCTTTTCGACTTAACATGGAGTAATCGGTAATAAGGACTAAATGTGTACAAAAAAACAAGTTAAAATGGTAAAATATTGACAAAAATAAAAATAAAAAAAAAACCTCAGTGGCCAAATGTATTCAAATAAAATATATATATATTACATTTCTAATTCGTTATCCATTTTTTTAAGGAAGAATTTCATATATGCCCTTCTTAAACATCAAAATATCATATTTACCCAACATAATTTCTAAATATCATATTTACCCTTCATAAACTTTCTAAATATCATATTTACCCTTCATAAAATTTCAAAATATCATATATGTCCTTTTTAAACATCAAAATATCAATATGCCCTTTTTAAATATCAAAATATCGTATATATACTTTTTAAACATCAAAATATCAATGATAATATCTACAATATCCTCCATCTACAAAATAATAATAATCAACAACAACAAAAACTAAACAATCAAAATATACATTCCATAGAAAGAGTTAACAATGAATCTTTTTGTCTGTCAAGAGGCCGGCATTCCAACAATTTACAAGTTCACATTCCATTATCATAAACGTAAGGATAATATTGTTAAATTTCTTAATTATTATAATAATTCTAAGATATAAAAATGATTATAAAATATTGAAAACATTATAAAAAATGATTTGGGAAAATATGATATTTTGAAGGTTTATGAAGGATAAATATGATATTGAGAAATTAAACTGGGCAAATATGATATTTTGAAGTTTAAGAGGGGCATATATGAAATTCTTCATTTTTTTAAATAGGCAATAATTTTCTAAATTTTAAATAATAATAATAATAATAATAATAATAATAATAACTTATTATGATTAGATATATTTTTTTGTCTCAATATTTAAGGGCATAACGAGCGATATATGTCGCTGCCAAATATATCAAGAGTTGTCGCAGTTACCTTTACAGATGACATGTCACACCTAATATGTCATTGATAATGTTTTGTTTGAACTCTCTTATCCTTATATCTTTTGATATAGTTTGAAACAAATGTTTTGTATATAATGCGCACAAATAGTGTTGTGTTTACGACACTTCGTCGAGAAATAGCATATATATATAATAATAATAATAATAATAATAATAATGAAATTTTTGGTAGGAATGTAACAAATTTTTTGTATATATATTTTTTAGAAATAAACAAAACGAATCATTAAATGATTTAAGAGTAAGATGATTTATAAGATTTTTTTTTTCTCGAAAAACACATTCATGATTCATTTTTAAGTAACAAGAACAAGTTTATTTTTATTATAATTTTAGTGAATATGAGAAAAATCATTGTAAATATTAATCATTAATATGTTTTTTCGGATTTTTTTATGAATCATATTATTTTTATTAATTTATGTAATATATATATATATATATATATATATATATTATATATATATATATATTAATTATATAAATTATTGTAATATGTGGCTTGATAAAGGATGTCCCATTATAACTATAAATAGAAACATAAAACATATTATAACTATAAATAGAAACATAAAACATGGAATGAATAAAAAACTTTAGTTAAAAGTTTATGTTATGAACTAGGATTACAGACATGAACTACAACATGCTTATGTGGTAGTTCTATTATGTATTACTCATTACAAACACAACAAAAAACAAACATATGATTAAAATCAAAATTATTAATCTAAGCAATTGTTACTAATAGACAAAATAACTAAGGGATGAATATAAAAAAGATAATAACTTGAAATGGTAACGAATTTTTAATTTTGTTACATTTAGTCATTGAATATTTTTTCATGTTTAATTTACTACTGATTTACTAGAAAGTTGTTTATATTTTACCTATATGATCAGTTGTAACTTGTCATAAAAGTAAAATATGAATAATTCAAATACTTTCTGAATAAATCAAGTAGTGATTAAATATTAAAAAAAATCCAAAGTTCGTTGCTTTTCAAAGTGATTATCCTCATTTATATTTACAATTTTTTGGAAAAGAAAATACAAATATTATATACTAAAATGCTCTAAAATAGGGATAATGACTTAGGAGGGTAACTACCTATTAGCGTTGCATATTGGCAACTTGTTTTTTTTGTACCTATTAAACCAACTAACTTGTTTTAACCGTTTACATTATAACAATATTACCGTCTAACCTCCATTTTAACTGGTAAATGCAATTAATTCATTTAAATGAAAAGGAAAAGAAAATACGTGGCTCCAGAAGATTATACATGACATGTTATGTGTCTATTTACACCTCACTTATTATATAGAGGGTGTTTGTCGTTGAATCCCTAGATCGACAATAGCTTCTTCTTCTGCTTCATCTGCTTCTTCCAAACGAAATGTCGAACTCCAAGCTGACCATCCATGTAAGTGCGACATGCCATCTCGTGTGAAGATTTCAAGAACACCCGACAATCTAGGAAGAAAATTTCGAGTTTGTCAAAATTCTTTGGTAAATATGTTTTATTTATTCAACCCGGAACTGAATATTCTTCTTCATCTTCTCTTTAATTTAATTTTTTTATCCTTTCATGAAGAGTGCAAGAACTCCAAGAAGTAATTTCTGGGAATGGCTGGAAGACGATGAGTACCAACTACAAAAGAACAATGATTTGGGACAAATCTACAACCTAACATTCAAGCTTGGAAATTTGGAAAACAAAATTAGTTATTGCAGGAAGAAGTTGGAAGAAGAGAAGAACTCTGATTTGGTTTTCAGATAAGAACTGGACAAAGTGAAGTGGAAGTTGTTTACTCATAAAGCTGCATTGTTTGTGTTATTTTTCTTGTATGTTAAACATGTATTTTTTAAAGTTTGATGTGTTCTTTGTATCCTGTTTGATGTACTCTTGTTTGATGTATTCTTCTTTGATGTGTTCTGACTAAATCATGTACTTCATGAAGTTTTGTATGCAAATAAAGTTATGACTAAAGTTTGATGTTTAATACTTGATGTATTAAGACAGTAAACATGTAATGTATACAAACACATAAATAAACATGTATTAAGATAGTAAACATGTAACTTGGGAGTTTGATGTATTAAGACAGTAAACATGTAATGTATACAAACACATAAATAAACATGTACTTAAATTAGGGGATAATGACTTGGGAGGGTAAACATGTACTTAAATTAACATGTACTTAAAGTACCAAAATATTCCCAAACATACAGGACCCAAGATGTAAAGTATCAAAATATTCCAAAAGATGTGCCAAGTTTGTCCTATTATGCCAAACGATATTACAAGACCCAAGATTCCAAAACATGTAAAATAAAACAACACATTGAATTCAAATCTCCAGTGGGTGGTCAGTACTGCTTCCTTCATTCCTCCTTATGTTCTTCCTTATCTGAATCTTTGTGATTCTTTCTGAAGTTTTTCTTGTCCTCTTCCTAACTTGATTTTCTGCATTGTGTTGAATTTCCTGTTCCACATTATCTTGAACTTCAATTTCATGTTCCACTTCAATGTTAGCTTGAATCTCATCTTCTATGTTAGCATCAACTTCAACTTCTGGTACCAAGTCAACTTCAAGAACATCAACGTCAATGTTAGCATCAACTTGAATGTCATCTTGAATCTCCCCTACAAGGTTATCTTAAACTAAAGGAACATCAACTTCAACTTCAGGTACCACATAAACTTCAGGAACATCAACTTCAGCTTCCACATCAGGTTCAAGAACATCAACTTCAGGAACATTAGCTTCCACATCACTCTCACTTTCAAAGTCACTATCACTTTCACTTTCAAACATGACAACATGTTCCACTTCCAATTCAGCTTCAAGGTCTACTTTACCTGTAAAAGGGAAAAATTCAGAAATAGCACACAAGTATAATATATTAGATAATTTAACACCATACCTTGTTACTTAGGTTTCTTTTTGTTAGAACCTGAAGTAGGTGGTGCATCACTTGGTCTTTGAGGACATGCTGATCTGTTATCTCCTCTTTCCCTACAAATGGTACATCTCATGATCATTCCCTTTTTTGAGATTGTATGCCTTGTTCCCTTAGCTTCTCTCTCAACCTGATCCTTTTTCCTTTTCATTGTTGGTCTTCCAAGTAGTTTTTTTTTAGGGGGAAATGGTTTGGTGTAATCCACTTCAGGCCACATAGCACTACAGTTTAGTGGCCTAATGTTATACCTATAACAACCTGCATACATTGATGTAGTAAACCATTCTGACACATACTCCTCAGGGTCCTTATTGAGGCTTGAAATGGCAGCATATCCATGCACACAGGGATACCCTGCTAACTGCCATGCCCTGCATCCACATTGCCTAGTATTCAGGTCTACATCATACCCTTCAGTCCCCACCCTCACCTCAAATTGCATATACCCAGAAGGTACCACTTGCCAAAACCTATCCATAATCATATACAAATTAGAAAATATTAAAAATGACAAACATATAAGCAATAAGAATTTACCTTTGTGTTTCCTTGTGCTTATTCAACTTCAACCTTATGGAAGGACATATGCTTAAATCCCAAGATTGATCCTTGGCCTTGTATATACACAACCTTTCCATTACATAAATCCGGATTTCTTTTAACATGGTAATAAGTGGTTTCTTCATAGCAACTTCAATCACAGAGTGAAAACTTTCAGAAACACCATTTTCATATGCATCGCAACTCTTATCAACCTGAAAAAAATGCTTTACATCATGTTTTACGGTCCCTTTCCATCAAATGTTCATAAGCCAGTGGCTCCAGTTTCTTGATTTGATTCATATTGTATTCAAATTTTTGTGGAACTGTAGATCCAACAGCTCTCCAAAACAGTTTCTTAAACATTTGCCCCTTAAATCTTTTTTGGAAATTAGCACATATGTGCCTGGAACCCTTTCCTTCACAGCTTCAACTAATCCCTATAATCAAAACATAAACAACATAAGCAAAAACATATTAAGTATCTAAAATAAGTATGGAAAATAACAATAATTGAAGTGTGAACATTACTTTGTGTTGGTCTGATATTATGGTTAGTCCATGCCCAACTCACATTCCAATGTCATCAATTAGAAGATCAAGAAACCACTTCCATGATTCTTTATTTTCTACTGCAACCACAACCCATGCAACAGGATATATGTGGTTGTTTGCATCCCTCCCAATGGTTGCAAGCAACTGACCTCTGCATATGCCCTTTAAGAAACAACCATCTACTCCAATTACCCTCTTACAACCCTCCATCCATCCATCCTTCAAACCCTTTAAACACACATAAAACTTTGAGAAGTATGTTTCTCCATCAGGCATCACATCCACCTCCATCTTAACTGTTGATCCAGGATTTGTCCTTTTTAGCTCTTATCCATAACTCCATGTTTTAGCATAATGCTCTATTAAAGTACCTTCTATCTGCTGAAATGCATATTTCCTAGCATTTCTGCATTGTCCAACACTAGCTATCAGGTTAGACCTTTTACTGACCTTAGATTTCAATTTCCTAATGCTCATCTTTGGTTTCTGTAATATATCATTCATGAAATGAGTTCCAATCCATTTGTAGCTTACAATGGACCCAAATTTGAACACTCTTGCACAATTATGCCTATCAATTAATGACTTAATCTGAAAAGACCTCTCATTCTTCATCCAGGTTGCCCACAACCTAAAGGGACAACTCTTACTCTTCTTGTTCTTCTTATATTTACAACATTTTGCCAACAGCTTTTGATGATCATTTTTTTCAAACCATAAGTCATACCCATTCTTGACAGCATAGTTGGTTAGACAAAGCTTCAATTCAAGAGGGTTGGCAGACTTCATACCTAAAACTGGGACCATTTTATCCCATTCTTGCTTCTCATCAAAGACAGGGAACACAACCTCATCATCTTTATCACTATCTTCATCATTATCAGCATCATTTACTTCTTCTTGATTACTATTGAGAATGGGTTTACCACACAACTTGTTCAAGAATTCATCATCATCTGTTTTGTCAAATGTATGCACCTCTTCATCAGGTTCATGCTCACATTCCCTTATATCTGAAATTTGTGACTCTGTATCATCATCTTCTATTACATCAGACAGCTCATCACCTGTTAACAACTCCTTATCGGCCCAGTCAAGAATGGGTTCGTTTTCGTGGTCAATGTACACATTCATCCTTAGCTCCTGCTTATCCATGTAACCATCTTCAATAAACTCAAAATAGTCAACATCATTTTCGATTCTTCTGATACCCTCTGCCAATCTTTCATGAGTACTACAATAGTACAAGTTCTCACAGCTTCGTCTTGTCAGCTTTGAAACCCACAACACAAATTTTCTATAGTTCATGCCACCAAAATCCACATCACGAACTGACATTCTCATAGGGTCTAAGTACACTAACGGGTTTGGTGCAAACATGCCGTTGAAGTGAAAATCTATAGTGAGATACTTACTGTTAGATGCTTCCATTGTAGTGAGATACGCATCGTTAGACGATTTCAAGTCCCAACTTCAGTTCCTACTGCTTCGATCGACCGAATTATGAGAAAACTTAAGTAACCAGGATCGATTTGGGGAATGATTTGGGAGTAGTTGTTAAGATTAAGAACCCTAAATAAATTAGATCGATACACCTAGAACCTATTTAAATGAAGTCGAATATAGACAAAGGGTGAAATAGCCACGTCATAAGCCACGTATTTTCTTTTCCTTTTCATTTAAATGAATTAAATGCATTTACCGGTTAAAATGAAAAAAAAAAAAAAAAAAAATTACCAATATGTGAAAAACGCCTATTAGTTACCTCCTAATTCTTGGTACTTTTTTTTTTTTTTTTTTTTTTTTTTTTTTTGACAAACCGATTTTAAGCGTTTTTGCGAAACAATTATTCTTTGTCTATTCAAAATTTCGATTTGTGTTCTTTCTTGTGCGGGGGAATTTTATCCGAAAGATTTAAATTTGGAGCGGCGTCATCTGCTATTTTCAAGTATAAACTCATATACATGTTTATTCCACACAAAGCTTGGCATCATCGACATGTATGTGTAGAATCCGCGCGGAGCTTTTACAAAGCTGCTACTTCACGCATACCCATAACAGAACCTGTTTACTACTCGAATCAGAAGCTGAATGAGCTCTGGAAATCAGGTCGAATCAATGAAGCACAACACCTGTTCGATGAAATGCCTGAGAAAGATGAGTTTACTTGGAATACCATGATTGCTGGTTACGGAAATTCAGGGAAAGTAAATGAGGCACAAAAGTTATTCCATGATACTCCAAATAAGAGTTCCGTTACATGGTCTTCACTAATTTCCGGTTATTGTAATTTGGGATACGAATATGAATCATTGAGTCTGTTTTCCCAAATGCAGTGTTTAGGGTATAAACCGAGTCAGTTTACATTAGGGAGTGTTCTTCGAATGTGTTCGATATACCGATTGTTATCAAGAGGAGAGCAGGTTCACGGGTATGCAATCAAGACTCAGTTTGATGCTAATGTTTTTGTTGTTACTGGACTTGTTGACATGTATGCACAATGCAGACAGATGTCTAAAGCTAAATATTTGTTCAAATCGATGACTTATGGAAAGAATCATGTCACATGGACTGCAATGATCACTGGATTTTCGCGAAACCAAGATCAAATAGGAGCTATTGAGTGTTTTCGTGATATGAGAGCTGAAGGAGTTGAACCAAACCAATATACTTTTCCTAGTGTTTTAACCGCTTGTGGTGATAGCTTGGCTTTTAAATTCGGTTTACAGGTCCATGGTTGCATTGTGAAGGGTGGTTTTAGTGGTAATGTGTTTGTAGAAAGTGCGTTAGTAAACATGTATGCAAAATGTGGGAGTTTTGATAATGCTAGAATCGCATTAGATTCAATGGAGGTTGATGATGTTGTTTCTTTGAACGCCATGATTTCGGGCTGTGTAAGGCAAGGTTTTAAACAAGATGCGCTTTTTTTATTCAAGAAAATGCACACCAAGAACATGAAAATCGATGATTTCACTTACCCATCTGTGCTAAACTGTTTTGCCTCCTTACTCGACCCCAATACTTCAAATTCTTCAAAATCCATACATTGTTTGGCTATGAAAACGGGATTTGAAGGATACATTCTCATAGGCAATGCTCTTGTTGACATGTATGCCAAACAAGGTGAGTTACAATGTGCACACAACGTGTTTGATAAAATGCCTGAAAGGGATGTGGTCTCATGGACTTCATTGATGACTGGCTATGCTTGCAATAATACCCATGAAGAATCTCTAAAATTATTCTGTGAAATGAGAATTTCCGGGATCAAACCGGATCAAGTTGTAATAGCCAACATCTTGAGTTCATGTGCAGAATTAACTGTTCTTGATTTCGGACGACAAGTTCAAGCCGATTTCATCAAATCAGGTTTTCATTCATCTTTATCAGTCGATAACTCTCTTGTTTCATTCTACACAGACTGTGGTTCCATAGAAGAAGCCAACAAAGTCTTCAATTCAATGAATACAAAAAATGTGATAACATGGACTGCGATAATCAAGGGGTATGCTAAAAACGGTAAATCAACCGAATCTTTAAAGTTCTACAATGAAATGATAAAGAATGGAATAAAACCAGATTTCATAACTTTCATTGAGATACTATTCGCATGTAGTCACGCCGGATTCGTGGATCAAGCCCGGGAATACTTTGACTCGATGATGAAAATTTACCAAATTACCCCTGGCCCGGATCACTATGCGTGTATGATCGATCTACTAAGTCGATCCGGGAAGATAGATGAGGCTGAAAAGCTTTTAAATGAAATGGTAATCGAACCCGATGCAACGGTTTTAAAAGCATTGCTTTCGGGGTGTAGGGTCCACGGAAAAGTCGAGCTTGCGGAAAAGACGGCGAATACCCTTTTTGAATTGGCACCTCATGATGCTGTCCCGTACATTGTGCTTTCTAATTTGTACTCTTCAATGGGTAAATGGGAAGAATCCGCAAGGATTCGGAGGTTAATGAAAGCTAGAGGGGTAAATAAGGAACCGGGGAAAAGTTGGATGGAAATTAATAGTAAAGTTTATACATTTATGTCGGAAGATAGAAGGCATGAAAAGTGGGATGCTATTTATGGAAAGATTGATGAGGTTATGATGGCGATTAAAGAAGCGGGTTATGTTGCGGATATGAATTTTGCATTGCATAATATTGATGAAGAAGGTAAAGAGTTGGGTCTTGCTTATCATAGTGAGAAGTTGGCTGTGGCTTTTGGGCTTTTGGAGTTGCCACATGAAAGGGAGATAAGGATTTTTAAGAATTTGCGGGTATGTGGTGATTGTCATACTGCCATGAAGTTCATATCGAGTGTTTATGGGCGGGTTATAATTTTGAGGGATTCGAATCGGTTTCATCATTTTAAAGATGGAGTTTGTTCCTGTGGAGATTATTGGTAAGCAAAGATGAAGTTTGTGTTGTAGCAGTTTTTTTATAAATATTCATTTGATTGATTTAATGATATTGTTGGTTTAACATAATGTTGACTTAATTGTGTAAATAACCGTTGGAATACATTTTTAGTTTTGCATCTAAAAAGTGATTAGATCATGCTGATTCATCCAAGTAGGTTTTTCACCTAAAGCAAATTTACTACCTATATTTTTATTTTGCTATACATTACAACTTAAAATAAACTTGAAAAAAATATACCATAAAACTATAATTAAGTTACAATTTTTTATGTTTTCATCTTTCGTTATTCGGGTATGGATAATTACACTCGATTAAAAACCAATATTCTTGTTTGATATTTTTTAGAGTTGGATATACATACGTATTTGATTAATTTGATACCTGTATGTTTAGACCTTCTCTAATTCGTATTCATTAATAACTTATTAAATTAAATGTAGGTTGAGATTTAATGATTAATTTGGATGTGACGTGTCAAAAGAGAGCAACAATAAACAGAAAGGAAAAAAAAAAAAAAAAAAGAAGACAAAATCCAATGTTACAAGATTTATTTGCATGTTTGTGCAGTGTCAAGAATAATTACTATATAACCATTAGCATCAGCACAAGGATGAAGGAGCACACATAACATAAGATAATGAAACTAAGAAATAAAAAAATGAAATTGATTAGAAATAAATTCTTCATGTTGTAAGCAACCAACCCATCATGAATCGAACTTTAGCTACACCATATCGTTGTTGTTAAGAGTCATATATAAAATATATTTATATAAACCAGACCCGACCTGACCTGACCTCCATTTGCACCCTTTGATCGAGGCCGATAACTTGATTAGATATTGTGTTGTAGTGTAGCAGCAAAAGACAGAAAGAGAAAAGTATAATTAATTAATGACTATGTTTTTTTTTATGGGCAATTAGTATGTATTCAAAAACCCAATTTTTTTTGGAACGCCTTTTATCACATTTTTATTTTCTGGCATGTGCATGTTCGGGTATCAACCGTTGAAGTAGTTCGGGTGATGCGTGAGCAAGCTCTGTAAATCAAACATTTATATAAGTATTTGTCAGTATAACTTGTAAAATTCAAATAAAAAATTAAAATATATATATATATATATATATATATATATATATATATATATATATATATATATATATATATATATATATATATATATATATCTAGTGTATTTTTGTACCTTGTGGTGTGAAGTTAAAAAGGGGAGGGAGAGGATCGCCATTTGGTAGAGTCGTGGTCGGATCCCTTAAGTTGTCAAAGAACGGGTGAGTGCACGCCTCCAACTGTACACAAAACAAAACGCATATAAGTATCCCTTGTTTTTCTCAACATTTAGAGTAATTTACAATTTTGGTCCTTGAGTATAAATGATTTTTGTAATTTTGGTTTCAAAAACAAAAACCACTCCTAATTTTGGTCCTTAATTTGTCCCTAAGTAAAACTAAATTTCACAATTGGGGCCCAAAAAGTTTCCACTTGCAATTTTTAAGTAAAATGAAGCTGATTTTAAATAATGATCGGATAAAACTTTTTAAGACCAAAACTAAAAAACCAGTTACACTAGATTTGACTTACAGCTGTACAACGCAGCTTTGGTGAGTATTGTAGCAGGCGAGAGACAAGATCGACTGCTTCGGATGGCATGCGCTTGTAAAATATCTGATAAAAAGCATCCCCAAAAAGTAAATTTTTGTTATCATTTCTAAAATATAAAAACAAGTATTAATGTTAATATGATTTGATTGAATTTGTTTAGTATAAAGATTATATCTATGAACAGACCTTATGCCATGGATGAGCCTTGATTTGTGGGAATTTAAACTCGGTGTAGTGAGGATTCATACACTTGATTTCCTCACGTGTTGGGGTTCCCAAAATCTATAAAAAAACAAAATGGTTGTTAAAAATGAGTTTCAAATATAAAATTTATCAGACAGAAGAGAAGTTTGGTACCTTGATTATCTCTACCAGCTGATCCACACCACTTTCACCAGGGAAAAGAGGCTGCAATGCATATTTTGATTTATTTGTATGTATTAGAGCAAGTGTGATAATGGAATTTAGTGAATTAGAAATAATTAATTATATAAAAAACATCAAATAACTTGTTAGGCGGTACCTGTCCGAGGAGCAGCTCAGCCAAAACACAACCAGCAGACCACATGTCAATTGCATTGGTGTATTCTGTTGCTCCAAAGATCAATTCTGGAGCTCTGTAATATCTTGAGCAAATGTATGAAATATTTGGTTCACCAGGTACCTGCATTCCCACAATAAAAACTCAATACCTCACATCATCATCATCATCATCATCATCATCATATTAAATGGAATGGAACGGGTGACGGAATTGCCCATTCCATTCCTGATTCCATCGTAATAACAAACTACCCAAGAGAAGAGAGTTTGTAAACTTACCAACATTTTTGCACTCCCGAAATCACATAGTTTCAGCTGATGAGTTTGTGGATTAACCTGGAAAAAGCAAAAGGGTTATTATAATTATTATTAACAAACTTAACACATCACCAATACGATGAATGCAAATAAGCAAGTTTCCATTCTTACCAATAAGTTTTGTGGCTTAATATCACGATGGCATACACCAATCACATTATGAATGTAGTTAAGCGAACGACAGATCTGATCAACAAAGACAAAGACAGATATAAAATGAGATTACAAGATTAATTAAGTTTAATCAAAAGAGATTAGTAAGAGAGTGAGCTGACCTGATATGTGTACAATTGTACATACAACATAGGCATGTGTTGATTCATCCTAACATAATGCCTTGACATCCTGTAGACTGTTTCAGGTACATATTCCAATACAACATTCAAATACACTTCATTTTTGTCGGTTGTTGAATAGAAACAATTTTTCAGCGGAACAACGTTTGGATGTTCCAATAAACGCATGATTTGTAGCTCTCTGTTCTTGTATCTTTTATCCTGTAGCACTTTCTTTATAGCAACAGCTTCCCCTGTTTCAAGACATTTGGCTTGAAAGACCACACCAAATGAACCGGTACCCACAACCCTCTCAGCTATGTAAGACAAAGTCTGCATCACCACAAAAAATAAAATTATATCATCAGTCATACTGTTTAAATTATTATTCTTCCAGCAAACCACCCCTGAAGCTGAAGTGATGTAAATCAGATGGATACCTGTTTTGGTTTTCCATTTCGACCACCAATTGAAGTGACAATGATTTGACCTGTTTCAGTACCATTACCATTTACAAGAGTCGCCTCAAAATCCTGCTCACAAATCACCATTCATGAGCATCAACATGTCAAATTCAACACTAGAAATATTATGATTGTATTTATTACCTTGTCATCAGCATTATCTTCCATAATTTTCATTCCATTCATTTCTTTTGGGAGCTTGTCATAGTCGGATTTCCCAGGTCTAGCAAATGATGCGCTGGCAGACATCTTTACAGATCTAGCACTCCCAGGCTGCTCTAAACTCCCAAAATCTGACTCACCCTTCACCCTTTTAAAGTTAGGATCTCCACCCTACAAAACCATCAAGTTCAACTCCATCAGTAAGATCATATTAATATGTATATTCAATAAAGGAAAGCATCTGTATGATGTATCTCAGAAATAATAATAATGTGCCCAATGATTTTGACATCCTCCTAATCAAACAATAATGATGTTGTTGATGATTATTATTATTATGATACTATTTTATTACTATTATATTGATAGCCAGCGAGAACACACAACAGCTCAAACTAAGTCAAAAGAACACAATAAACAAATAAGCTATTTCCGTGAAACTACTTCAATATGACTGGAAATGAATGGATCAAAAACCAACACAATCAAGAAATTTTAGCTTTTATCAATAAAACAACAAAAACCATCAAAAAACGAAGTTTATTGGAAAAGGATCTTGAAAAACAAATAAATCTAGAAAATATTTAGCTTTCATCAATAAATGGATAAAATAAAAACTAATGGATCTTCAAAACCTTTTTATCTTCATTGATCAAAAACAAAGGAACTAAAATATATTTGAAACGTTTGTTTAGTTTCCAATAATAAAAAGGTAAGAAAACAAGGCATAATCGAAACTTTCTCTTACATCTAAGTAATCGAAGTCAAGCAAAACGATAAAACGTGGAGTAACCGAAACGGAAAAGCGACCAGATTCAATGATCTTCCGAAAATGAAAGACATTCATTATCATTTACATGAAAATTAGTTGAATGTGACTCAACAATTGGATTCAGAGAACAAAACGAAGAAACGATATTTCAAAAGAAAACATTAGCTTCCATCGATCGAAAAGCAAAAAAGCCAAGATAACACGAAATTCTTCAATTCTGATAAAATTCACATCAAGTCATTAGAAACTTACGGTATCCGAAACAGAAGTACGACCAGAGGCGATACTCTTCAAACGACGCATCACATTCATTATGCTTGATTAAATCGTAACCCTAAATTCTCCCTTCTCTCCGGATCTCACAACACTTATCCAAACCCTTCTTCAACAAAACAAAACCAAAATCAACTAATGGAGGAGGAATCTGCGACACAACACGCAATCCTCCTCCACCTTCCTATTCTTCTCTCTGAATGTATTGCTCTCCCTCTCTCTCTTTTTCTCTCTCTAAAGACAATCCCTTTCTCTCTCTATATCTCTCTTAAAATTCTCCATCTCTCTCTAAAACTGTTTTTCCTGGTCAAAGGTCAAACCTGAAAAAGCCCAATCATTCATTCTTTGCCTCATTTCGTACACCAGTCAAACTTTCATTCTCAACCATCCATGTCATCATGATTTCATGATCTACGGCTGACAAACCACGCAACTCTGCATACTAAACGACAACTTTTTCACTCTAATTACTGAACTACCCTTATTAAAAAACGCTTCCAGATAAAAGATTGATAATTTTAAAATGTTGTACAGCTATTAATGCGTGTTTTACAAGT